CGCAGGGAGGCGCGGTCTGGTGTGGCGCGCCCCGTCCCCTGCCAGGGCTTGGGAAGGGTGGAGGCTCCACAGCACATAAGCAAGCAAGGGCTTGGTCGCTGCCACATCACACCCGGGGCTCCCGGCCAGGCCCAGAGGCTCCGGCGGAGGCCGTGAAGGGGGCAGAGCTCCCTGCCCTGCACCTGGGTTTGCTGGGGGCTCTGAGGGGCAATGGCGAGCTGGGGTGCCCTGCCGGGGCTGGGAGCTGGGAGAAGGGAGATCAGCGCTCGCCCCCTGCGTCGCCCCGTGGCTGCCCCGCTCCGGAAGAACAGCATTAGGGGCTCACGCTCCCCCCCCCTCTCCCCGTACCCCACAGGGTAGCTGAAAAGGAGCCCATCAACAAAATGTCTCTCCACAACCTGGCCACGGTCTTCGGCCCGACACTGCTGAGACCCTCCGAGGGGGGGAGCTTTTTTTCCTGCCTGTCTGGGTTAGGTTTGTCCCTCTTTGCTGGACGTGGCCGCACAGGGACAAGCTGGGACACGGCAGCTCTGCCCCTCTTTGGCCTAACACCCCCCCATTTGCCTGCTACAGGTCCAGGTCCTTCTCTACTACCTGCAGCATCCTCCCATCTCCTTCACTGAGCTGAAACGCAACACACTTTACTTCTCCACGGACGTGTAGCCTGCAGGGAGAAGGCACCAGCTGCAAACACTCCCAGCTCCCTGCTAGGGGACACAGACTGGATCGCAGCCCCCCCCAGGGAGATCGGCCCGGACCCAGGATGGTGCCGCCTGCAGCTCCTGTACAATCGTGTACCAGTGGCCCAGCCCCACCCCAGGCGCCGTGCCTCTCTGTAAAGTAGTCGTGTCTTATGTCCCTTCTTGTGTTCAAGAATTGTTTTTATGTATATTTGTTCAACGGAAGAGGTAGTGACTGACAAGGGCTGTGGACACAGGCTTCCCCCTTGGCTAGTTTCCTCCTGGACTCCTTTCTGCCTGCTCACTCCTACCAGGCACCCCTCGTCTCACCCGGCTCGAAGCCTGCAGCATCCCACGAGTGCCTGTTTTTGCTGCCCAGCTCCCTTGCCCCATGCCTGCATGTGCAGCACCGGCTCCCTTCAGAGGCTGGGAGCTCACGGGCTTCCCTCCCCAGTGACGGTGATGACCAGCTCTGCTTTGGCTTGCTGCCTGCGCAAACGTTGGACCCCCGTGCCTGGATCCTGCTCTGGCCCAAGCAAACTTGCGACCGTGAGAGCAAGAGGAGCAGGGTGCTGCTTCCTCCTCGCCACATCTCTTCTGGGTGCTTTCAGGCCAGTCCCCTCTACAGCCCTTACCCTGTGCTTTGCCTGTCTGCGTGTAGCATAGCGGTTACTTCCCTCGCTGTTTCTCGCCTCCGAGGAGCGTTTTGGGGTAACCCATCACACAAGGCTGGAGCGAGAGGTGCTGTGCTGGTCTCGATCCATGGCAGGCTTGAGGGACAGCCAGCTGGGCAGGTCTGCTCCCTCCGTCATGGGCTGACCCCAGGTCTGTGCTCTGGCACTGAAGGGGTCCCACTGGGGCACGTGGGTCCCACAATCTCCCCAACAGGCCCTGGCAGGGCAGGGCACGGGGGCCCTGCCATTTCTGTACACCCATATCTCTGCCATAGCAAGGCACACACGAGTGAGACATGCACGCCACTGCCAGCCCAGCGCTACCACAAGGGTTGCCGACGCTGGCTGCATCCCGTGGCCGAGCCGGCCAGGGCACCAGCGGTCCG